ATTGCTCCCCCATTTGGCTTTTTCTACTTCCACACACTCCCACTGAATCCTCCTCACTCTGAGATCAGTACTTAGATACACAAAAATGCCCCAAACCCAACAATTTTTATCAGAATCCCAAAATTCAACTTGAACACAGAAATTGAGCTTAATAATTTGCTTGATAACTACAAAGTCATTCTAAAACAAGGCTATACCTCCACTTCTACCTTGAGGCTCAATTGTAGACCAATTCCCCTCAATACCTAAGGATCTACTAACAGTATTTACAATGTGCCTATTTTTTTTGGTTTCAGATAGACATACCAAAACTGGGTGATGGAGCTTCCATGTCTCCTTCAGTTGGGAAATTGTAGAGGGCCCACCCAGCCCTCTACAATTCCACATGATGATCTTCATTGATGCCCTTGGGGCCAATTTAGGCTGGCCTCCCCCACCTCATGTGATTCTGCCTTTAATTTCTTTGACTGATGTTGTTCTCCTTCCAAATGATTTGGTTCCTGAATGGTTAATTGCCTCTTCTTCATTGTAGTATTGAGACTTGTAATGCTAGGAGTTTCAATTTTCTTGTTCTGCACCTGCCTTTTCCATCCTTTCTTAGCCGGGGTGACAGATTGAACAGGATCAAAAGAACAGAATGGAAGGTACTCAGAGGGCTTAGGCATTGTGATATTGGCTTGGGTTGTGTCAGGTAAGATTGGTTTATGAATTTGTGGTTGAGGGATTGGTTCTTCAGTTTCCATCTGGATTGGGACTATTTCCTGAGATGAGCTTTGAGGATTTTTTAGCAGAGGTGTTGTCTCCAAATTTTTGCTGTAGGGTGAGAGGGATTTGGTATTTTGTTGAATTTCTGGGATATCTTGGTTAAGTGTTGTCAGAGGGTGCTGTGAAGTATTAGGATGGGTACTCGTTTTTGTGGAAGGTTTATGACTGTTAGTACCTTGGGATTTAGGTGATTCAGAACCACTGAAATTATGTTGGCTTGCGGCCGAAGAAGGATTGTCCTGTGCCCTAATCCAATCCCCGAACATTCCTTTCTTTAGTTTACCTGTTGCAATATCGGAAGTTCTCTGTTCACAGGCTCTTTCCAGATGTCCCAACATTCCACAGTAGTAACAAACTGTTGGTAGCCTCTCATATTTAAAATTAACAATTATTTTTTTAGCTCCCATTTGAAGGCTCGCACAACGCATCAACGGTTGGGTAATGTCCACTTTCGCTAGAATTCTGATACATTTTCCGGCGAGCAGCCCTCCCTGCGGTATAGAGACGTCATTGATTTTGTTAAACACCCTACCAATTTTCATTCCCAATTCTTCAGTAATCCCATGAACCGGGATATTCCAAATCTGAATCCACATGGTTAATTCATTGAAGGCAGGATGATCCGCTGATATATCTTCTTCCCAATCTCTCAGAATAAGGGCTTGGTGCTCAAAAGTCCAACCTATCCCTCGCGCAACTTTTAGCTTGTCTTCAAGATCGGAAAAGACAAACTGAAAGAAGTTTGGGCTAAGTTCTTGAGTTCCCACCGTGCCTTTAATTTGCCAGATTTGATTAATCGTTCACTTGATACCCGCTAAATGAGCTTTTTTCTGGCTAATAATTTTCCCCACAAGACTCTTTCTGCATTCCTCCGCACTGAGTTGGATGTCGTCATTGACAATTGGGATCACATTAGCCTCCTTCTCCGATAGATGAAAGGAGCCCATTTGATGGACTATATCCTCTTCCTCTTCCATCGCTTGAGATGAAGCAATAGTAGGGGGTAAAATCAAGAACCCTAATCTGCACCAAAATGTCCACAACAAAGGCAAAGACAAAAGTACAACAAATAAAGAAGAAAGATAAACCAAGAAGAGAAAACCAAACTCACATGATCAAAATACTCCCCTCAATTGAGGAAATTATGCGCTGAATTTTCAGGGATGGGTGGCTCGTGAAGAGAAATTTTTGGCTCCCATTAAGAGAGAAATTTTTTTTATTCCTAGCAATTATATACATATAAATGAGTAATGAGACATACATAGCCTCAATCGTATATGAATATACGTGATCATGGGCCAAACCGTTCAATCGATTCGGTTCGAAACATGTGTGGATTGACTCAGTCAAACCCGTTGACCACAGGCCGAGAATTGGTCCATTGTTTTACCCGGGCTGGTTCAGGTTCAAGCATTTTCACAAATTGAATCGGAACTGGCGGTTCGACGAATTTAAATATTAATTTCTATTACCTTTTTTAATACGCCACTTTGGTCCGGAACTGGTTGATAGATTCTGAACCGTCAATTGCCAATATATATATTGAGGTCGTTGCAGGTTCACATAAAATGTAAACGGGAACCGCCCGGAACCGGTTTTTGGTAACCTTTATATATGAAAATAGGAAATTCCCAGAAATCCACTAGCAGAGTAGCAGATTGCATCCAATTCCATAGAAGAAGATAGCTTGGGGCGGCTTCTTCACAAGCTCAACATAGAAAATGCTGAAAAGGGTGCTGCTTCAAGCCTCCACCCGCCGCCACCTGCCTTTTTCATCCCCACTATACCTCGGACCTCGGCAGCGACGCTTTTTCTCTGCTTCCTCGTCCTCCGGATCTCAGAACGAGCATTCTGTCGAACACTTGGAGGACTCACCTCAGTCTCCGCCCTCTGCGTCGATCTCCGTCGATCGCTCAGCCTTATACCATCCACCCGGTATTTTTTCGTCATCCACATCTTAATCATTTTTTCTTTCTTTTTTTTGTGGAACTTAAATGTGATTCAAGCTACGCTTAGTCATATATACAGAACATTCTCACGAACCGTCTTCTGAATCTGAGCTTGTCAAGCACCTTAAGAACTTAATCAAGGTGCGATTGCTTTTATATGCTTATTTATCTCTGCTTTGTATGTAGTTGGTATCATCTTGCATCAGCTTTGTTTTTGTTTGACTAACTTGAAGAATATTTAGTTCCGAGGGGGTCCCATTACAATTGCAGAGTACATGGAGGAAGTGTTAACGAATCCAAAAACAGGTTTCTATATCAATCGGGATGTATTTGGAGCCGGAGGTGATTTCATTACATCACCAGAAGTGAGCCAGATGTTTGGAGAGGTACTCTTTTGCACTGTCCCTCAATATGGAAAAAGAAAATAAGAAAAAGACAATATCTTTTGTCTCTAGTTGATGAGAATTTGAAGCTTTTGTGCTAACTCCTGTGCTAGGCCTTAAGACAAAGAATGTGGCCCGAGCTTATTTTAAGTCTTATAGATATAGATGAGTTGCTCACCGGTAATTGATTTTATTTTCGTATACTCAGTCTGTTGATACATTTTTCATGGTTTAGATGGTGGGTATTTGGGCAATGTGCCTGTGGGAGCAAATGGGACAGCCGAAAAGAGTTAGTTTGGTTGAGCTTGGACCAGGCAGAGGAACTCTTTTGGCCGACCTTCTGCGTGTATGTCTTCAGCATGAAAGTTTTTAATTTCACACTTTGTGTGTATGTTACTCATCTGTGTCATTCCACAATTCAAAATCTAACAGTTGTAATTCTATCCTGTAGGGTGCTTCAAAGTTCAAGAGTTTCACCGAATCTTTGCAAATACACATGGTTGAATGTAGCCCGGTACTGCAGAAACTTCAGTACCAAAACTTGAAGTGCACGACTGAAGATGGCGAGGATGGGAATTCAGAGGGAAGATGTGTTAGCTCTATAGTTGGGGCACCTGTGTCATGGCATGCAGTTCTCGAACAGGTTCCAACAGGATGTAAGGAACATATTTTAGTAAGTTTTATACTTTTTTATTAACTGTTTTTATTTTCCTTTTTCTGTTTTGTTCCTCACGGCCATTGACAGTGATTGGTGAGCTGCCTACTAAGTTGTATTTCCATGTGTATGGTGAACTTTTTTAATCTGTTATATATATAGTTGACGATCAGTAACAACCCAGACATGTTTTCTGGTTTAAATTATTGACGCGTGATGTGAGCTATAGCATGTTTACTTCTTGTGTGCAGGAGGTATCAATCATGGAAGGCACCCTACCCTAATATGTTGTTTTTTTCGCTTTGTTTTGTGAAACCAGAAGATGTGAATTCTTTGTGAAGTTTTTCTGTTTGTTTGTCTGACCAAACTCTACGTTGTTTCAGTGCCTACAATCGTCATTGCTCATGAGTTCTATGATGCTTTGCCAGTGCACCAATTTCAGGTTTGTCTAACCATTGGATGTAATTTTATAACTTGGGTTCTATCTGTGGAGAATTGGTTTGATGTATTAATCTAATTGTTACAAAGGTGAATGACTATATCTCCTTGGTCTTGGTTAAGAGCTGAAATTGTTATGATTTATTCTAGAAGTATTGCCCCTTGAGGTTGACTTATACTAAGTAGTTGTGTTGTCCGAAATTTATAAGTTAGTACCTAAAAGTGGACTTGTTAACTATGCAAAATTTGTTTGCAGAAAGCCTCTCGTGGGTGGTGTGAGAAGATGATTGATGTTGCTGAGGACTCAACGTAAGCAGTTTGAGTTCTACCTATATCAGTTTTATAAATTTTCGCTGTGATTTTTAATTAAATATAATGTGGGTTTAACATTTTACTTTGAAATTCATTTGGTAGGTTTCGTTTAGTTTTATCTCCGCAGCACACGCCTGCGACTCTTTATCTCATGCAGCGCTGCAAATGGGCTGAGGCTGAAGAAATTGCTAGAGTTAATCAGATCGAGGTTTGCCCTAAGGCAATGGATTTAAGTCAAGAAATCGCCAATAGAATAGGCGCAGATGGTGGTGGGGCTCTCATAATTGATTATGGCCTCAATGGAATAGTATCAGACAGTTTACAGGTCTAAAACTAACACATTTAACACTTGAAAAGTCTATGAGTTAATCATAAATAGCCTTTTTTTTTTTTTTAATTTAATTTTGACTAGTTGAGTTCAGTAGTTATGGATTCATAAATAGAGGAAGTTAACAATAGATACAATAAAAAAGTACAGAACCCGTTCTCTCTTTAGGAGTATCGATTTCTGTTCAGGCTTAGATATTAAAATTATGTGGTTTTACCTGATTATGCGCAACAAATAATTCAGAAAATATAGATCACATTGGCACTTATTTCTCTTCTACAAGTTGCACGGTCAAGATGAACTATTTATGGAGTAAGTACATGCTCCAGAGATAATTGTTGTTTTTGATGTATATTAGGCTAAAATTTCAGCGCCCTATAAATATATAGTTTCTTCGTTATCCTCATAACTTTTCTCTTATCATATATTTTTCTTAGTTGTTTCAATTTTGCACCATGTATTGACATAGAGAAACTTGGCTTCAAACTGTTTTGTTCTGGTTGTACACCAAAAGGATGTGCCGCAAGCTTGTAATATAGTTGATGCTTTACAAAGATTAATTCCACTATTTAAGTATATAATATATAAATTTTATTTTCCATTCACCATGGACATACCTTTTGGAGAAGAAGTCTGATTTTAGTTCAATGACAGGCCATTCGAAAGCATAAGTTTGTCGACATACTTGATGATCCCGGTTCTGCTGATCTCAGTGCATATGTTGATTTTGCTGCAATTAGGCATTCTGCTGAAGAAATTTCAGGTTTGGCTCAATCTTGTGTGCCTAAATGTTCTATTCGTGAAGTTGTGATAGTAATTCAATGAAAAAGGCGAAACAGAACAGCATACAGCTCACACTTTCTTTGTAAGAGACTGATACAAACCAAGTCATTCTTGATATGAAGTATGAACTCTCCCCAGAAATCCTTTATGGTGGAAAGGTTTCTGGGTGAGTGTTTGCCTAAACTTCCGATTTTAGTAAAAATCTGAAGTTATAAATATTTTCATATAGAATCTAAAATCCTGACCAAACTAAGAGATAGTTTCTGTAATTAAGAGTTCAAAATTAAAGGAACAATCAGATATGCGAGGCACCCTTATCCGATTTTTAGGGGGTGATTGGTAAGCACTCATAACTAGTAAAAATCAATTTTGATTGGATAATGAGTAACAGTGAGGTATTTTGAATAAAGTTGATAGA